GCCTACATGAGCCGGAAGTTGCATAGGAATGTCAGGGATGGGGGGGGGGGCGATGCTCTGGTTTTGGGGCAAAACTCTATGGTAGAAGCTAATTCTACCATAGAGTTTTGCCCCAAAACTTGAGTGTCCCCCACACACTGTACCTACATCACGTCTGGGCCACGTAGGCATGCCTCATTAATTCCTGGCATTCCTCCCAACTCTCAGTAAGTGCACACACACCCCCATCCCCTGCTGGCTGCTGCAAGGGACCTGGCAACCCTACCAAGCTGCTGCTTCTCCGGGGGGGGGGGGATCCATCTCTGTAATCTGGAGATCAGTGGCCCAGCCCACTCACCTGCCCACATGAGCAACACTACCACAATGATGATTATCTCCCCCGTCTGCAGCTGACGCTCCTTGTCCAACCCCTCCACAGTGATGTCTCCTGCACGGAAAACAAGGGACACAAAGAAACATGGCTGAGCAGGAGCCAAGACTTGCTGGAATTCACCCGTAAAACTTCGTTCCCATTCTGGGCCTCAGTCCTGCAGCTTGGGGGGGGGGGGGGGGGGAGAGAATATCCACACACTTGGAAATACACTGCCACGTGTGTCTGCTTTATACTGACCATTGGTCTATCAAGATCACGACAACCAACTCTGATCAGCAGTGGCTCTCCAGGGGCACAGGCAGAGGTCTTTCACATCACCTGCCACTTGCTTGTTTTAACTGGAAATGCTGGGGATTGAACCTGGGACCTCCTACATGCCAAGCAGATGCTCTGCTACTGAGCCCCTCCCTCGTCTCCACCCTCTCCTTCATCTTGCTTGGCCCCTGGAGGAGGCTGTTCAGGGTTTTCTTTCCCATCAGAATGGGTCCAGGGATTGGTAGGAGGAGACATGCAGCAGTGAAGGGAGATGGATGTATCCGCAGATATTGATCCGTGTGTTCCCCAGACACACTGCCAACCTCCTCAGAAGTCCTGCATGCTTAAAGCAGGTCTCTGAAGAGCGGGGGTGGGGCAGAGAGAAAGAGGTTTTTTCTTTCTAGGAGGGTTTTTTTTTTTTTTGCCCTGCTCCGCCTACCCTGGTTGGAGCTGTTGGATGGGAGGCGATCGCTCTGCTTCAGGGTGCGGAAATGGACTCTCTTGCTGGCCTGGCTTTCTCCATAGAGACCAACACTCTGGACTTGGATGATGTAGTCTGCATCCTCCGCCAGATCCCACAGCACACAGGCCCGGTTCGTGGTGTTCACCTCTCGGATGAATCTCTGCATCTGTCCGTCTTGCCGCTGCCAGAGCCAGGGAGGTGGTCAGAGGGGCCAGCAGGGGGAGGAACCACCCTCCAGCAAGGGGGGAAGGAGCCTCTACTGACAGGGGCCTAGCTTGGGCAGGGATTTCTCCCAGGGATTCCAGGGTCTTGGCTTGAGCTCAGAACCCAGGAGCAGTAGTCCTTGTGCCAGACTTACCTGCTGTGAGATGGCATAGCCAATAATTACGTCTCCCTCAGGGACATCCCAGGAGACGGTTGCTGAATTTGCTTTGAGCTGGGTGACGGTTACATTGACAGGGGATGGAGGCCTATCTGCAAAGATAGAGAAAAGGAGGACAGGGTCATTTCTGGGCAAGGCTGGAAAAATGTCAGGCACTCGATAGCCACTCTAGATTTGAACACTAAAACGTGTAACACGTCCTCTGATTTGAGCTACACCAGCTCTTAAGAACTGGAGATCCTTTTTCAGCCTCGCTTGTGGAACAAATCTCCAGTTTCTCCAGATCAGTCAGAGTGTGGGGATCTGGGGATCTTTGGTTGCTTCTGCACAGAGCTCTTTTGGTCTGCACTCTCCAAAAAGCACAGCAGATTTTATTTTGGCTTCCACATGACATCATGTACTTGGAAGGGATCCCACCGAGGAAGACTCTGCAGAGGAAGGCAATGGCAGATCACCTCTGCTCAGTCACTTGCCTGGAAAGCTCCTTGCTGGGGACACCATATATTAGCTGAGACTTGACAGCACTTCACACACACACACACACACACACACACACACACACACACACACACACACACACAGAGAGAGAGAGAGAGAGAGAGAGAGAGAGAGAGAGAGAGAAAATACCTTTTCTACCTCTGTGTGTGTGTTTTCCAGTGACTGGGATTTTAAACCAGGATTGAAGTGTGGTTCAGAATCTTAATTACTGGGGAAGAAACAAAGTCAGTGTGCTGAAAGCACACACATTCAGCTATCACAACAAATTAGAGTACTATCAACTCCAACACAGGAAGTTTTCAACCATGGCTTCCTGTTTGAGGGCAGAAGGGATGAGGAGGAAAGAAGGAGCACCAGATCCTGAGAATAAACTATTTGTGCTCACTATGAGCAATCTCCAGTTTGTTTGTGCCGTCTGAACAGAACCCAAGCGTTTATATTTTTATTTTAGAAAGCAAAGTAATAGTATAGAGGGGATACAAAAAGGAAAAGAGGGATCATATAGCATAATTGTATATATCAAGGATAATTGTATATTACAAAGTGTATAAAACAGAAAATATTTCTCCCCGGCATCCCCTTCATTATAATTTTAAATACATTATCTATAAAATACAATGGTCCTTATTTCTGTTGGGGTACTTTTATATTCAACATTTTAAATTTCAAATTTCATAACTGTTCTATTCTGCAACTACAACGTTCATTTCTCATTACTACATATTCAGTATTACATATTTCACCATTTCTACATACTCGCTATAACTTTTAACAGATAGGTAATATATCAGAGTACAAAGGAAAGTCTATTATATATGTCATAATAAGAAAATAAAAGATGTTTCTGCTCAAAATCCATTTCCTTGTACATTTATATTCAAGATGTTACATTTAAAACTTGTTCTCATTCTGCTTTTGCACTGCAATACATTTCTATACAGTTTTTAAACTTTCTCATTCTAAATTTGTCTCCTGGTTGCATAATACACACTCCATCTCTTCTCAAATTTCATAATTGATCTGTTTCTCAAATAGGTTGTTAATTTCACCATTACTGCATAGTCAGCAAGTTTATTTTCCCATTCTTCTAAGCTTGGGCAGATGTCTAATTTCCATTTTGCTGCATAGATAATTTTAGCCACTATCACCATGTATTTGAATATCTCTTCCAACATTTTTGGTAATTTATTAGGCAGTATACATAATAGCATATTCTTAGCTTCCATAGGGAATTTTAATTTTAATATGTTCTGCATTTTTTCATGTTTTTCCTTCCAATATCTTTTAGCTTTATCACAAGTCTACCACATGTAGTAAAAGGTTCCATCTATGTCTTGACATTTCCAGCATATTCCTTTGCAGTTTTTGTCTACTTTCTCAATATCCTTTGGGGTTATATACCATCTAAAAACATTTTGTACCAGTTTTCACTTAATGCCTGGCTGGCTGTAAACTTAATCTCTTTTTCCCATAACCATTCCCACTGATGCATAGGTATCTGCTCTCTAAAATTCTGCATCCATTTAATACATAATAAGTAAATATATAAATAAGTAATAACTATACAAATAATAAATATATAAGTAATAATTTATCTATCCATGGTAGTAAATGGTCTTTTTGTTTTATCATCAGCTGTTTGAACTCAGTCACCTCTCTTAGAGCTCCAACTTCTGTGCTGATAATCTTTAGTCTTGAAGCTGATTGATAATATAGAAACCACCAAATGTTGATTCCTTCATCTCTAATATTTTGCCAGGACTTGATTTTCCCCTGAGCATTTACCATATTGCCATACATTAAAAAAAAATTATTTCTCATGTTCTTATCATGATAAGCTTCTATTGGGGCCATAAACACAGAATTTGGAGGGCTGAACAGAGCCCAAATGTTTATAAACTTGACAGTAGTAGCTTTGCCAACCTCCAGGTGGGGGCTGGAGATCCCCTAGAATTACAACATATCTCCAGATTGCTTATTTATTATAGAAGAGGAGGAGGAGGAGGAGGAGCTGGTTTTATACCCCGCTAATCACTACCCCAAGGAGTCTCAGAGTGGCTTACAATTCTCTTCCCTTCCTGTCCTCACAACAGTCACCCACTGAGGTAGGTGGGGCTGAGAGAGTTCTGAGAGAACTGTGACTGACCCAAGGTCACCCAGCTGGCTTCACGTGGAGGAGTGGGGAATCAAACCCGGTTCTCCAGATTAGAGTCCGCAGCTCTTAACCACTACACCAAGCTGGCATTTATTCTACTTCTCCTGGAGAAAATGGCTGCTTGGACTGCATGGCCTTATACCCCACCAAGGTCCCTCCCCTCCCTAAACCTCTCTCTCCCAGGCTCCACCCTCAAATCTCCAGTTATTTCTGAACTTGGAGTTGGCAACCCTGATCAGTAGGAACCTGACTCCCAGGGTGGGTGAGGCACTGCCATCTATTGAAACAATTTGTTCCCATCAGTCATCGTCTTGGAAGTATATTCATGCAGGTTGGCTGCTTTGATTTCAGAGAAATATTGATAGAGGAATTTTTATCGACTGGATAGGAGCTTGTGCAGAGTAGAGGTTAGAGTGTCGCACGAGGGTCTGAGAGACCCAGGTTCTAATCCTCATGATACTGTGGAAACTCGCTAACAGACCTAGGGCCAGTCACTTTCTGTCAGACTAATCTACCTCACATGGTCATTGTTGTGAGGATAAAATAGAGGAGGAAATTGTTATGTCATAAGCTATTTTCATTCCCTGCTGGAGATCAAAGCAGGTGTGTGCGTAACTGCCATAGGGTCAGATGAGAAGAGATGGAGATCAGAGCTCTCCCAGTGCCTTTAACAGCTAAATTTCATGCAGGATGTGAGGGACTGATTTGAATGGGGGCCATGGAGGGAGGGGAGAGGGGCTTTGATTCTTCCAGTTCAAAAAAATTGAGCACCCATCTTCTGTCTGCTTTCCCCCCCCCCCTTCCAAAATCAAACTGGTGCACAAAGTCAGGACGCTTTAAAGGGTCAGGGGAGGAACGACGGCCTAACCCTGCCACTTTAAAGACAGGCTGTTAAGACTGCCTCCCACCCAAGACTGGTCTTCCTGGTATTCATTTCTCTCCGCATTGCCAACAGCCTCCTGCCCTGCCCTGCCCTGCCCTGCCCAGAAGCTCCCAGTGGTCCTTTGCAAGCCTGCCAGGACTCCAGTTCTGCTGCCCGGCCCCAGTGTCAATTTGCTAATGAGAGACTCCTTGCACAGTGGCTGTCATGCCAGGGATGGATGCGGCACTGGCAGCCAACTTGTGCCAACTGCTTGTGCTTGGATTGCGCATGCAATGAATGCCCCTCTTTCCTCGAGTCAGGGCAAAAGCCGAATCCCGCCCGCTGAAGCAGAATGGGAGCCTTGCAGCATGTGCTCCTCACTGCCTTTCAAGAACTGATGTGATCCTCACTGTGCATGAGGGAGTGCTCCACAGGCTTCCAAACTTGCTGGAGCTGAAGTATTATCTCATTTGCCTACCCAGTGGGTGAATGAAAGGTTGAAGACTGGATTGAGCTTGAATCTATGGCACCAACCTGTTTCTTCATGCCCGACTTTCTCCCTGCCTTCTGGCTAGAGGAGGCACACATGTCGAGTGAGGACCTGCCCATCATCATCATCATCATCATCATCATCATCATCATCATCATCATCATCATCATCATCATCATCATGTTTGCACTTATAATAATAATAATAACAACTTCATTTATAGATTCAGGTGGGTAGCTATGTTGGGCTGAAGCAACAGAACAAAGTCTGAGTCCAGTGGCACCTTTAAGTTCAACAAAGTTTAATTCTGGGCATAAGCTTTAAACTTTGTTGGTCTTAAAGGTGCCACTGGATTCAAACTTTGTTCTATAATTTCATTTATAGTCTGTCTTTCTTGCCAAGACTGAAAGGAGGTTACAACAATTTTAAATAATGCAGTAAATATTTGTTGTTCAGTTGCACAGTCAAGTCCAATTCTTCGTGACCCCATGGACCACACCAATAAATATAGTTGGCTCAGGTATTGGCGGTTTTTCTGGCGGGGTGCTCTTTTCGGCGCTTTGGTGGTAACTCTCTCTCTTGAGGCGCGCGACTCCCGCCTCCTTCCGGCCCCAGCAACGTCCTTTCCGGCTCCGCTGTGCCAGCGCTCGACGTCATCGCGCGCCCTTTCCTCGACAGTGGTCACTTGGTGTTTCATCTCCCAGCCACTAGGGATCGCTCCTCCGGTCGCGCCCGCTCGCCGCCGTCGCCGCATCACCAAACCACGCCATCCACACGCCATTCTTCAGGCGGGCCCTTCCACCAAGTGGGATCCACACCGAGAATGTTCAGGTATGGACTGCTATTGGCCTTACCTATCTGCAGAATGGCACCTTCAAAAGGTTTTGCTCAGGTGAGCACAGTTGTTTCAGTGGGGCAGACGGAGAGAAAGGTAGACCCTTAGATAGGTGATTCCCAGGCCGCGAAGAGCTTTGTAAGTAATAACCATCACTTTGAACTGAATCCTGAAATGAATCAGTGTCAATGGAATGACTGCAGCACCAGAGCTTACCAACCCTGCTGCTTCAGTACTGGGAAGCAGTCCGTTCCCAGAGCCGAGAGCAGGGTGGATCCCTTGCAAATCCAGAGACTCGACTGCAGTGATAAGAGGTCCAAAATCCACAATGGCCCTGCTTATGGCAATGGTGATCCATACCCCTGCAATCAGCCAGAGAGTGCTGAAGACGGAGTACTTGAGATCTGGGAGGTCACCTAAATGGCTGCAAGTCAAGGCTGGACGAGAGTCAGGCCAGGGACCAGGGTGAACAGCCAAGAGAAAGAAGTTGTACCCCTTGTACTCCTCGCCTCTTCAGGTGGCTCTTGTGGCCAAGTTCAGGCTGCCAGCAGAAAGAGACCTTCCTAGGGTTTTGCTTTCCCGTCACTTTACAAGAAGGCCAAAGAGTAGTAGTGGTAGTAGTAACACCAGACATTACTCAGTACAGTTGGTTACTTCATTGCAGTCTACACAGGGGTCGTTTCGTAGACAAAGAGCTAGGGTAACTCGTTAGCATAACTCATTAGCATATGCCACACCCCTTGACATCACCGGAAGTGTGTCATAAGGCCACACCCCCTGACATCACCGGAAGTGTGTCATAAGGCCACACACCACACCCCCAACGGTCCCGGCCGCTGCCACCAGCCTTGCAGCTCCACTGCCGAGCCCCATGAGGGGCCTGGCAGTGGACCTGCAAGGCTGGCGGGAGTGCAAGGAAGCCCCGCAAAGGCCCTCCCTGGCCCCAGGCAGGCAGGGGTGGGGAGAGGCAGGCAGGAAGCAACTTACCCTCCCTCTTCTCCTGCCTCCTCCTGGCTGAATGAGGGCCGGAAGCGGGGCGGCCGGAAGCAGGGGGCGGGGCTTCATCATGTGCCCCACCCCCCGTACCTCACCCGGGGGAGCTGCGATCCCCCCCGAAATGACCTCTGAGTCTACATAAATTTCCAATCCCGTTTTGGCTGCCATTGGTATTAATCACATTAAAAAACCCTCAGCTGTTACCGTCAATACTGGCTGGTGGACAATTGTGTGAAGTGCTTCTTCACACATTGCATAATTAACATGAAGATTTCATTACTGCAGAGATGTGGTGATGCTAATAGGCATCTTTATAAAGAGGAAAAAATGGGGGGGGGGAGAGATCCTAAGCAGATCTACTCAGACATAAATCCCATTTTATTCACTGGGGAGCAGGTGTTTCCCACCCCTCCTCCCAGTAAAGTAGGGTGGGTGTCAGTTGTCTGACTGTGTGTGCTCAGAATTGCAGACAAAGCAGCCCCAAGTCACCCACTGAGCTCCAAGTCTTAATTGGCTGATATAAAATTATGCATCTCTATAAAGACCATTCAGCTATTTTGTCTTATGAACCTCATTTTCTCTTGCTGGTTATTGCATTCTGCTCCTCCTTCATTATTAGATTCTCCTTCTTCCTTTCTGAATTTTCACTGTAGCACACTTTTTCTTTGTGTGCATGTATGCAAAGTACCATCAAGCCACAGCCGACTTATGGTGACCCTGCCTGCCTCCGCATAGCAATCAGGGTCTTCCTTAGTGGTCTCCCATCCAAGTACTAACCAGGGCTGACCCTTTTTAGCTTCTGAGACTTGATGAGATCAGTTTAGCCTGGGCCATCCAGGTCAAGGAACTTTTCCCTTGACCTGTGACTGATTTTGTCTGCTACTGAAAGCTACAGTTCTGGTTCATGTAGGGTCCCAAGACCTGCAGTGCTGATCCATGACCCTGAAAAACATCTGCTGTTCCACTGTAACGTACAAGGGTGCAATCAGTCAAATTAACCTTTTCTATTTTTTTTAAAAAAATCTTGCCTATTTTTACCCCACCTTTCTTCCAAGAAATCTGAATGATGTGCATGGCCCTCATGTCCTCCATTTTATCATTGCGGCAATCCTGTGAGGTAGGTTAGGTTAGACAGGAGCAAGGTCATATGCAGTGCCATCCCAACCAGATCTCCCCAGAATCCTACTTAGGTGATTAGGTTATGAGAGCCAGTTTGGTGTAGTGGTTAAGAGCATGGACTCTAATCTGGGAGAACCGGGTTTGATTCCCCACTCCTCCACATGCAGCTGCTGGTGTGGCCTTGGGTCAGTCACAAGTTCTTTCAGAACTGTTCTCTCAAGAGCAGTTCTTGAAAGAGCTCTCTCAGCCCTATCTACCTCACAGGGTGTCTGTTATGGGGAGGGGAAGGGGATTGTAAACCGCTCTAGAACTCCAAGTGAAGGGCAGGGTATAAATCCTCCTCCTCCTCCTGGGCTTATTCCCAGGAGGATTGCACTATTTATGAGATTCATGGCTGAGTGGGATTTTGAACCCACCCACCCCCACCCCCTGCATCGTCTAACACCTATAATACAGTAGCCTTGAAACACCTTCAGCTTGCAGTTCTGGCAGCTGGAAGCACAAATATATGAGAGAAAGCCTCAACAATTGTTTCAGGTCAGCAAGGGACTCAAAAGCACTGGCTGCTTTACCATGACAGAAGCAGAGGACTCAGATTATGGATGCCATTAAGGATGGCAGATTTTGCCTGGGTATTTTTTCAGCCTCAACAAGCCTTTAAACAACTACTCCATACATTAGTTTGCTCTGGAGCCATCCTTCCTTCCTTCCTTTTTTTTTTAAAGATATTTTTATTAAAGTTTTTCAAAAGTAAATCCAACATACAGCTATTCCTACACTTCGCAACAGATGAGCATACAGCCTCCTTTCCTTCCAAACTCTATATACAAACCGACATCCCTAACCCTTTACATTCAACTTCCAGTTATACAATTTTCTCGTTTTCTTCGAAAAACAATTCATCTTTCCCCTTTAACGTGCATGATATTTTATCCATTTCAGCGATTTCAAATAACTTTTGTGTGACCTCTATCCTCTCAGGAATTTTTTCCTTTTTCCAGTTCTTGGCAAACAAAATTCTAGCAGCCGTAATACAATGCAACAACAAATTTTTCTCCGCTCTCCCATACGTCTCTGGAATCATATTGAGTAGACAGAACTCTGGTTTAAGGGAAATTGGAACTCCCATAATTTCTTTTAACATTTTACCTATCATCTTCCAATATTCCTTTGCTTTGCTACAAGTCCACCACATATGGAAATAAGTGTCAACATTCTGTCTACATTTCCAACATACATTAGAGGTTGTTTTGGAGAACTTTGCTAGTCTAGCTGGATATATATACCATCTCAAAGCCACATTATAAATGTTTTCTTTAAAAGAGGTTGCCCTTGTTTCTCATATTAGTGTCCCATATTTTCAGCCATCTCTCAAGCTCTATATTATAACCTAAATCCTTATTCCAGGCTGCCATACTCGATCTCACCACCTCTTCCTGCATTTTAGCCTCCAACAAGCTTTTATACACATTTTTTATAATTCATTCTCCCAACATAATCCAAATTTTATCTATTTCAGTAGGTTTATCATAAAATCCTTTTTTTTAATCTTCCCTATATCTGGTTTGTACTTGCATTATTTGTAGCCAAGACAATTCCATATTTGGATCTTTCAAACATTCAGTTGACTTAAGATTGTTCTTACTATCTAACAAGTCATCATAACAGCATTTTTTATCATACTCATACAGACTTGGAGCCACCCTTCCTGAGCTGACAAAAATGTGTGAGCCGGAAGCTAAAAAACTGTGAGCTAACTCACACTAACTCAAGCTTAGAGGAAATGCCTCTGCTGGAGACATTAGGGTAGCAACAGGGGTGGAGACGTGTGTCTGTTAAGTTGCTCGCTTAACAAAGCAGTCGGAGAGTGATTCAGCAAGAACACAACTTTATTCTTCATCTCGAACACAACTCCAACACGGATCAACATCTGATAGCCAGAACAGCCTTTACATTGCAGCTGTCCTGCTTTTAAACATTCCCGGCTAATGTAGCCACACCCACTGTACAAATACCAACCAATAAGGTTGTTCACATAAGGATCAATCACGGATGTTCCCGCTCAGGGAGCTTGCTTGAAAGTGATTGGTTAGGTGCTTCCTGGGCTAGTAACACGATTGGATGTATTTGGATCCTAGCCCAGGACGAAGCTTTACATTACACTTCAATTAGATGTTTCACAACATATCATGCATTCAAGGCAGCTTTGAATACACTACAGTGTCTGTGCGTTGCATGCAGACTTCCTAGAACAAGGACACAGAAAGCTGCCTTCAGGGAGTCAGAAGAACCTTAGGCCCTCAAGGTCAGTTCTTCTATCCCCCCTGACTGGCACTCGCTCTCCAGGGTCAGGTGGAAATCTTTTCTATCACTTCCTACCTGAAGAAGTGAGCAGTGACTCATGAAAGCTCATACCCTACCACAAATGTTGGTAGTCTTTAAGGTGCTACTGGACTCTTGCTCTTTTCTACCTCCTACCTGATCCTTCTTTAACTGGGGATGTTGGGGATTGAACCCGGAGCCTTCTGCAGGCGAAGCAGATGCTGTACCACTGAGCCAAGGGCCCTCCCTTTTGGCTGTTCTGAAGCACGACAACAGCACCTGATTGCAACTATAGAACGTGGAATGTGCATTTCCAACACCCTCTTGGAAGTATTTCCATTTTATCATTGCTGGAGGAAGAAGCCAGCCAGATACAAGGGATGGT